GTTTTATCTGCTTTGTTTTTCTGTAAAAAGCGATAAATAGTTAGTTAAAAGTAGTGGCGCAGATATATTCATTCTTCGTCCTTCCTTAGTTTCTGAACACTAGAATCTTATACTTTCCTTTTTCTACACCTATTATTGTCTACAACTCCCGATATTGCTGCCACTTCTACTACTCTGGGATTTGTCTTGGTGCTTTTATCCCGCTGTTATGACAACTTGAGCTGACGCGTATGTGTCACGTTTTATGTTGAATATTAGTTTCAGTTTGGAAAAGACAGGAGGCTCGATGGCCTATGTTAGTCCTGGCAATGGTGGTCTCTCAGTTGATACAACTTTCTTTTGAAAGAGTCGACGGATGGAGCCTCAACCACGTGCTGAGGTAGTGAATTCCACTCGTTGATGATTCGATGGGAAAGTCGATAGTCAGCTGACAAGTAATTTGTTCTCGGCTTGTGAACTTTTTTGGAGTGTCCTCGTAAATTCTCTGTTTTGGAGGACAAGAAAAATGAGGGCATGTTAGGCGCAAATTTATCACTAAGCAATTTGTAGACTGTAATCAAGCCGCATCTAGTTCTGCGATATGACAACGGGAAAAGGTTCAGCTTGGCCAGTCGAGATTCATACGGAAGCTTCACTATTCCGGGAATAAGCTTAGTTGCCGTTCTCTAAACCTTTTCCAGAAGCTCGCTGTCATTTTTAAGCAGGGACTAGCCGTTTGTATGCAGTGCTCAAAATTAGGACGTACGAACACTGTATACAAAGTCAAAAACGTCTTAGCGTCGACATGACTAAAAGCCATACGTATTGACCATAAGGTTCTAAAACCTTTGGCGGCTATTGCACGGCAGTGTACAGGTATATCTAACTGAAAAGTCCCAAAATTGAACAAAACGAGCCTACTGTATCCCATTGCTACCTAGATCCTATCTTTTGTGTAAAATTATATTATATTGGCTATGTGAAGACAATCTGCGCATATGCCAACTAAGACTGATCGAATCTCAGTCAAAATATCAACAACAGTATAATTCAAACTACTCCAAATTAGATATAGTATAATCACACTTTTTATTTAGTGAATTCATTTTTTCCATCGAAATATCTTGTTTACGATTTATATATTCAACTATTACTATTACTGTTAATACTTCTACTACTCTAGAATTTATCTTGACAATTTCATCTTATTGTGTTAATTTGATGCGGAACAAATTGAATCAATGTACATATGTGCAAGATTCTATGTTTCTTACGACTGAAACAATTTGTAATAGTACTCACACACTTGAAATAAATAACCATAGTTCGACAGAAATCAAAAATTTATGCATAAATCTTACTTTGAATTAAATCAATTATGACAACAAACACAAACAGTGAGTGTGACATTCGTACAAAAACTAATTCCCAGTAATATATAATAAATGTAAATAAGTTTACAATCAGCTGATCCCAAATCGTAACAAATCACATGCCCAGGTATCCTAAGATCACCAGAACTATATATATATATATATATATATATATATATATATATATATATATATATATATATATATATATATATATATATATATATATATATATATATATATATATATATATATATATATATATATATATATATAATGGCATGATTTGTACTATTATTAAAAAGATTTTTTCGAGATATTATTCATCAATGTACAATGAAAAACATCTAACTTTTAAGTAAATTAGTCCTCTGTAAACACTATTTCGAGCATGGTTCCCATCGAAAGTAAGCATCATTTGGAGTCTTCCAAAATTAGAGTTTTGAACCTTTCGTTATGAGATTTCGTAGAAATTTATTTATTTTTATCTTTATAATCAACCCTAGTAATTCATTATTTAATTTCAATCAGTATTCAAAATTTTTCTTATTTCACAATCAATAATATAATTACATTTATTGATAAGTCTCTGAAAACAATGGTGGATGTGTTGTTCGATTTCGTGGATTAGTTGAAGTTAGACATTAACACCGTTGGATCCCGGCCGGCTCAATGGTTTAGAGGTTAAGTGTTCGCGTGCGAGAATGATAGGTCCTGGGTTCGAATCCCGCGAGGCAAGGTCGAGCACTGCTGAGGAGTCCCACAATAGGACGAGACGGCCATCCAGTATTTTCAGGTTTTCCATGGTGGTCTAGCTTTGATTGATTCATGATCACAATTATTGAAATTACTATAATATCCACAAAACCCCTTCTGAAAAGTCACTAAGTATATGCGTAATCAGATTGTTTGAAATGTATTGCGCAAATATCTATCGCATAATCCTGATAACTTTTGCCTTCTTATTGCATTACTGAAAAAAAACGAGTTCAATTTCTTATTGGAATTGATTAACTTGTTTAACAGAATAGCACTAAACAAGGATCATTCTTAATTTTATCAATGTGGATTCAAAACACTATAAATATCTGACCATTTTTTATAATAAATTGAATCTTAATACACAACCAAATCTTTAATTTGTACAGATGTAGTGTAAGTACAAACAGCTGAATTAAATTCAAATAATGACAAGGCTATAATTTATGGACAACCTTCGAGTGAGGCTAAACTGATATTGAGAGTGAGTGTCCACCTAATAACTACGACCGAATGACGGTTATAAATTAGTGTGACGAACTCGAATTATGATTTACAATTGATGGTTAAGGTTAGAAATTTGATTTAGGGTTTCTATCACTAACTGACATCAGCTATAAATCTATTTAACCAAATGGATGAGTGGATTTCGCACCAAAATCCGAGAACTTTTATCATATACCTGATTGATTCGTCTATAAATTATAGTTCCACCCAGATAATTACCAACTTATTAAAGTACCATGTATATAACCTGAAGCACAAGAGAATAAACACCAACTGTACAGATAAACTATCCTTTTCATCAATTCCTAATTGGTTTTTTCTTTGTTTAAAGAAATCACAAAAACCGTGTCAACGTTCATTCACATTATTTATATACATATATATTTCATAGGTTGAAATCATGAGGCAATTGAAGCTAGACTACAATGAAAAACCTGGAAGCACTGGATGGCCGTTTCGTCCTAGTACGGGACTCCTCAGCAGTGCGCATACACGACCCCGCACCCCGCGGAATTCGAACCCAGGTTTTCCATGGTGGTTTATCTTCAATTGACTCATGATTTCAACCTATGAAATTTCTAAAACTCTCCACAAAACCCATTCTGATAGTATATATATATATATATATATATATATATCATAAGTATGAAATTGCTTGTTTAATTTGTTTACATTTATTTATACCTTATTGAATAAACATCAAAAAAATATTGTTTTATTGTTAAAAAGAAACAAACAAATCAATTCAGTCAATATGAAATTGACATTCATATATAGGTAGAACCAAGATTTTATTCATAACACCAAAATAAATAATCATAATATTTACATAGAAAATAGGACAAATGTACGTATGTATGTGTGTGTGGGTGTACGTGTGCGGATGGACAAAGTTCAGAGAGCGAGAGAAATAGACATAGAAACGATATGCTCACAACAACAAAAAAAATTCGACCAAAAAGAAGAGAAACAGAAAATCAGACTTACGAGTAAGTAGATTTTAATTGTTGCATTATTAACATAATAAGTATAATGCACTATGAAAGACCGATTAATTACATCACAACAAATTACAATAGTTATTAACTTTCATTGGAAATACACACACACATGTGTGACGGAAGTAGCAGTAGTAGCGTTGAAATAATACAAACAGACGAGGAATAAAGAAGAGATTTGTCAGGGAAAGGAAAAGTGACAGAAAAAGAATTAACAGACATAATACAACAATTATCATAAGTGAACAAATAGATTTTTAACTCTGTTTAGATGAAATGCTTACTGAAATTGAAGAATACCAGAGAGAGAGAGAGAGAGAGAGCATAAGCCAACTATCAATAGGATAAAAAGTGAAATAATCTCCATTCGACATTATGAACAATAATGTTATTGGTAAATACATACATCATTATGAGAATTTGTATTCGCAAAAATGTGAAGAGATAGCAAACTTCAAGTCACCGGACAAATGAATTAAAAGCGATAATAATAATAATATCGAAGATCAATAAACCATAACTACAAGAACATGTTAAAAAGACTGAATCTCTTCTCTCTCTCTCTCGTACATACACAAATATATGAACACTATGAAGGAAGGAAGACTCGGTGGAGGCGGGCAAAGGAAGCATAATTACAATCAACTATTCATATGTAATTGCTTAATAATGGAATGCAAAACAGTTGTAATAATCACGGGAATTTCAAGTCTACAATAGAGAAAAATAGAGATCTAAAATAACATACATGATAATAAACATGTGTATACACTGTCACAGAGCGGATAAATCTATCTGTATAACATACTGAATGTCGATAATTTCAACGTACATATTATAGAGGTGAACTGGGAGAAAAAAAAACTGACTAAGTAATTCACTAATCTTTCAATAATAATAACAACAACCGCAACAACAAAAGAAAAGAGAAAAAAAGAAGAGAAATAATACAGATAGATCTTGGCATCTTATACATATAATTCATGTGTATATATAGAATTAAGCATCTTAATACATTTTATTAGTAAGACCATGGAACAAAAGAAATTTCTAATTTATTTATTTATGAAATGTAAGGTAATAAATGCCTCACTACAATTTTTTTTAAAATATGAAATATATATGTCAATTAGTAGAGTTTATAGACTTATTCAAAACCAGTTTTGTTTCCGAGTAGATTAGAATAGGAAATGCTTATTTAGTGATCATAGTAACAATAATAATAATACTATGTTAGATTATTCACAAATAGTTTTGTTAATTGGAACAATAACATCGACTAATAATAAGGTCACAGTAACTGGGTCACAACACCAACACCATAATTTCATACACCAATATATATATATATATATATATATATATATATATATATATAGAGAGAGAGAGAGAGAGAGAGAGAGAGAGAAATTGGTACCAAAGATTAATTGAAGGAATGCTTTCCAGATTGATTTTTTTTGTGTGTAAATATAATGTGACTTATCTTTTTAAGTATTCTGTTTCATTAATTCACTGTAAAAAGAAAACTGTGTATGGGATACATCAGTAGCTAAACACAAGGGATAATAGACACAGGGTAATTAAAAGAAAAAAAGAAAGCAGAAGAAAGATATTGGAAAAGTAGTAGTTAATATAAGTTCGACAGGATACCCCATATATATATATCCGGACACCAGTAATAACACAGATTATTGTAAATTTAAAAAAATAAATTGAGAAAAAGAAAGACTAAATCAAACAAAACATAGACACACACAAAAACAAGAGACAAACAAATCTTACATATACCAGTCAAAATGAACAATGTTGTGTATGCTCCATTTATTGTATACAGGGGAATTATGATCATTCAACTAACTACTCTCTAGGTTAATACCATATTCATCATGAATGTAATCATGACAACAATTTAAAAAAAAGTAATAATAAGTGTGAAATAGCCGGCACGAAACAACTACTGATATAAGAGATTGGCAAGACAATTGAGACACTTATTTAACCGAAAGACAACGAGAGAGAGAGGGGGGAGAGAGTCAAATACACCGCATAATCTTTGAGAGAATTAAGTTTTACCACTGTTAATAGGTGTAAAATGATAAGGAAGAAAAAAAATATGTAGCTGTATTATTCCTTCTTATTTAGTCGTAATCTTTCAAACTTGATTACATGGGAGTAGACTTGAATAATCGTTTGAATCAGTTAGTAATTGACGATAACAATTATTAATAAGACGATTACTATTTTTATTTTCATTATTATTAGATGATTGAGCAATATTGTTGTTAGACATTGAAGATACTTTACTAGATGATTTCATTGAAATAGATTTCATATTGTTATTATTATTACTCCTAGGAAGACGATCAATTCTATCACCTGTTAAATCATCACTAGTAGTTAAAGGGAGAATGCGATCACGATGACGACCACCATTATTGTTGTGTTGTGATACAGCAAGCCTTTGTTTTAACAATCGTAATTTATGTACCATCAATGTTAATTGAATTTCATCATCACGATATTTTTGTGAACGAGAACGACGTATAAATTTATCTAATTGATTTGCTAAATGGGTTGTAGTAGCGCTATCGAAACCTTCAGTTCTAGTGGCTTCTAATAATTGACTTCGTAGATTACTGACAGTTTTCCAAATATCTGAGAATGAATGATACATTCGAAGATAAGTTGGATAGGTACATTCAAATTCAGCTAAATACATTGAAGCTTGTTCTGATGTTGAGATTTCTGGATAAAGCCTTAAGAAAGAAAAGGATATAAATATAACTTTTTAAAAATATTCACAAATACACATGCTGTTAAAATCCATCTATTATATGAAAATCTAAGTTTAACTGTCATAACTCAAGATATTACAAAATACTTGGCAGGTTCAAAGTTATTTAACTGATGTAATCAAACGAGAATCAGTCCTTTAGATGTAGTATAGTCGCAGTGGCTTATTGATTAACGCATTCGACTTTCAATCACTAAGTTCAAGGTTCGAATCCCGCTCTGTATATTTCTGCTTGACAATCCGGGTAGTATCTGTATAGCCCTTATACTGTAAATACTTGATGAATGAGTAAATTTTTAAAATATTACAAATCCTAGTCTGCACATACATACGTTTAATATCTAGTTCAATAATGTGGTTCTCAAACATGAATCATATATACATTGTGCGACATCACTTACACCAAAAATGCTAGTAAAATATTCACAGAAAACCATTGAAGTATTAAAAACTAATTATCTACAAGACGCTAAACAGGAACACGTTGACAATCTATTATAAGTTGTATCATAATTGTAAATAGTTTTGAAAGAGGATAATGATAATCCAAAGAAACATGTAAGCGGAACTTTAAGCATCTCATACCATTCTAACCTGAAACATTGCCTTTCAGAAAAAATACAATTCATTATTATGCCAAATCTAACAATACTGCTTTACAATAAACAGATTTAAACATGAACAATGTATAAATAATTAAGAGAACATACCGGTCGATTTCAGCCAATTTACTGCTTAAATCGCCTACATGAAAACCATCTGTTCCGACAATACTTTGAGACAAAGCTTGTTCAGTTATACCATATGCTGGTGTATTTGTTGTATTACCTGAAAATATAGTAGAACGAGAGAAATAGACAAAAGATAAGCAAGAAATGAAACATAAATTAAATATATAAAGACTAGATTAGTGCACTAGATAATTCTCCGTTTCATTAAAATCAGACTGTTCGAAATAGGTACAATATACTTATAGGAATCTCTTAAAGATATACATAATTTGCTAAGCTAATATGAGCTATCTCTGGAACAGACTTAGTAGTGATAAATTATATAATTTAATATTATACTGCCGCATATAAACAAAACATAAAGTATATATGTTTCATGCAATATTCAATTTAGAGATAGTGTTCATTCATGACTGATATTTTTGTAAGAGAGAACTAGCATTGAAAAGCGTTTACATTTAAAGCATTATCTTTGAGTAGTTCAATTTATTGGTATTTGCATCAAAAAAGGTCAACCGATAAGACGATAATACAGAATCATTTGTTTGACAAATTATTAACCGCTTTATCCGACAACAACATAACAAGTTGAAGTAACATATATCCTGTCATCAGATCAGAAGTTTCATCGACAATTTCAAAAGTACTAACATTGTTTCAACTTTTATATAAGTCCAACATATGTAAGCTAATAGAATGAAGTGATCATTCCTAAAATACACAATGATTCACTTTGAAATGATAAACAAAAGATAAATACAAAACTGAAACGTATACAAAACAAAACAAAATGACCTAAAAATAATGAATGACAGTGTCATGAATAAACGACAAGAATTTTTATAACTGAAATTTTAATGACTTCGATGGAGTGCACCGAATTTATTAATTTGTTTAAACATTAATACAAAAGACCACACAAATAATTGAGTTTTTATGTGGATTCTCGATATCCACTAACCCAGGTTAAAGCACTGGATATTCGTTTTTCGTCTTCACAATTTCGTAAACAACACCCTCGCCGCGAGAAGGCAGTGAGTAGGACTTCCCTGGTAGTGGCTGTATGCACGTGGCCACATGACAGAATTTCGGGAGGGAGAGAGGCTTCTCCTTATCCTCAGCCGTACCAGGGCATTTGGGACCTTATCGAAAGATGTTGATGATACTCTATTTGCATTATATTAGCTTACTGTAATTATTATTATTATTTAAGCTTAACATAGAAATAATATTGTTCAGCTCAAAATTGTTTTTCATGAAAGTTGGTTCCACGGCATTTTTTATGTAATAGTAGCCAGTGAATAACTTCAGAATCCCCAACTTATTTTTATCCATCAAGTTATAACAAGCATTCAATGAATGTTATTCACAAATACGAAGCTTTGACAATACACACATTAAATCTAAATTAACTGCTTTATCCAGTAGTTGGATGTGAGGGTTAAGGATAACATACAAATCTCAAAACCGAAATAGACAGTGTGGAACTCGAACTTGAGAGTAAGCGATTGAGAGTCGAACGACTAAACTATCATTTCATCACTATCATCAATGCCATACGCACAAATATATTAATAAGATTAAATATCTTATAAAAACATACACAAGTAGTACACTCGACACTAATGTTTATTTGTGACGGAGAGTATGATGATAGCAATTTGCATTTTCTTGACATTTTGTTAAACAGAAAGAAGATGGATCAATCAGTAGAAACATGTTTAGAAAAAGTTCATCTGGGTGTCAACACATACACACATCTCAGCTTTGTCATTAATCATTGCAAAAGAAATCTGGTTAGTTGTTTTACAAGCAGAGCTAGAAAGATATAATACGACAATGTCATAAACAGAGGAGTTAGACTATATATATTCATTGTAAACGGTTACCGATAAAAGATTATGAGGAGACATATGCACAAAGTCAGAAACATGTGCTTTTCGTAAGAAACCTCTCTTTTTGAAACTACATTTTAATGGAGATATAGATAGTTTTCCTGTATGGTAGGCTGATTAGAATTGAAAAAATGACTTCATACACAGTTAATTATTGCTTGTCATTTTTTAAAGTTTTTCTTGAATTGACCAATTTAGTTTATCAGTCTGTGGAGAAAGATATTTACAGGCCTACTGTTAGACAATTTAGCCAATTAGAAAGTGAGCATTTTCCTTCGTGGAACACTTTAATACCCGGGTTCATTTTATTATACCTGATTGATAATGGTTATGTGATAGATGGAACTAAAGCATTCTGAGTGATTTACCTGCAATTTGATCAGTTCATCTCGATAGCATTTGATAGGTATAATGAGAATTGTAGGGATTAGAACTAATAAATCTAGTCCTGTTTAAAACAAGTTTGAAATACCTTTGTTTATTTCTCTCTGAAACTCTTACATCTCCCTTTTAATACTCAGATATTCAAACCGATTACTCACACCTCCCTTATAACATAATGCTTGATTAGTTCATTTTATCAAGTTTTATTTACTTCCTGTGTTGAAATATTTATTCATTGTGTTATTATTTTTACTTTACTATAAGTTTGCACTTTTCATTGTTACCAATGACCCAGAAAATCTTTTAACCAGGTTAGTAACTGTCATTTATATACATATAAACAGATTATATTCTGTTGAACATCTTTATGTTTAAAAACGAAGAAAGTTTATTCTTAAATGGTTTAATAGGTTTAATAAAATCTACAAATGAAGAATTTTGATTTATATATCATTAAAAGTATATTTGTGTATTTGAAAATGAAAATTTAAATCATCAGTTTAGGGGTTGTGGAGATTGTTAAGTTTTTGATTGAAATCATGAGTCAATTGAAGCTAGACCATCATGGAAAACCTGGAAGAACTGGACGGCCGTTTCGTCCTAGTACGGGACGACTCAGCAGTGCGCATCCATGATCCCGCACCCCGCGAGGCTTGAGCCCAGGACCCAACAGTCTCGCGCCAGGCGCTTAACCAACTAGACCACTGAGCCGGCATCCAGGTGTTAATGTCTAACCTCAACCAATCCATGAAATTGCGCGACCATCTTTCATTGTGCTGAGGTAGATACCTGTTTCTACCCGACACGGATTAGCTCACTGGTCACGGCTTCTCACCAGAACTCCGAGAATTTTCTCACGAAGCTAGTCACTAGGGATCTAGCTTCAATTGACTCATGATTTCAATCAAAAAAATTTAAGTAGACGAGTTATTTTATCAACCTTAGTATTCTCAATATGTACTATCTGCCAATTTCTACAAACAATTAATCAGTGTTAAAGGTATACAACAACATTTATATATAGTTAGTCTGCATCACAAACAGTTTCTACTTTGAATACTCAAGACCATTATATTGTATGCTAACAAAGTTATGTCCTTAGTCAGTTGAACTCATTTACTTTAATTATGGCCCCTATGATATTTTAAACATGTTTGGAAGTTTGCAGTAAAATTCATTCCTTAGACTCTTTGAACTAAAGACCTAGACAAGCTAACATTGATGGGAATGTCAATTATTCAAGGTTGTTATAGAATCATATAATTAAATGGTATATTATTAATTGTTAATTGATAGTCAACCGGAGTGAAAATTTATGTTTCCAAGTACAATGTCATATGTTTGAGGTGATGAGGTCTCTGAGCTTGGTGGACTGGTTTTGAAGCTTTTAATGTTTTTATGAACAACAACATTAGCATGTACTTCAAATGGAAGTGAGTTATTAGCATTTCTTCATAAGTGGCTAACAACCTGTTTTGTTGATCTGAAACTTGGTTGTTATCTACAATTGTATGGTAGTTGTTTATAAGTGTTTTTTTCTCCAGACCTGAACTCTGACCTTGCAGTTGTTAATCCTTTTCCTTATTGGTTGATAGATTAAGTTAATTTCAGTGTATATATTGATCAACGCTTAATTATAGTTACAAGCGTCTAAAACTCTTTGGTCGTTTTCGTGTTTTTTCTGTCCAATAACTTCATACTTTCTCAATCGAATTCATGGTTACAGTTGTTCACATACATTGACACGAGCGAGGGTATGTTATACAGATGTAGACGAAGAGGGCATCCACTTTATTCTATGTGATGTTTAATGAAATTTATCTTGTAGATAACATTTGGCGTGTAGCCAGTTTTCGAAATACATCCAATAGGTATTTTATTTCTTTATTTTTCGAATAACTGCAATCTGGTTACTCATTTGAAAAGTGCTCGTATACAGCTGATTTTGTCAGACATTAAGTTACTGGTATGTAATCAAGCATTCGATTGGTATGAAATGATTTCTGATATATATGAGCATCTACCTTTTTTATGCTGGTTCTGGTGACTGAAATGTTTAATGATGATAGTTTTTTGTCTGTCTCTACCTCTCATGTGAATTTTATGTTGTTTAACACGCAGCTGATCAAATTATTAGTATTTTCCAGATGTTTTTGTATGATGATGAATGTGCCGTTCACATAAAGTATGCAAATTTTTAGTTTGATCATTGGTAGGATAGAAGTTTTCCAGCCTCTGCATATATGCTTCCGCAATTAATTCGAATATCGGTGATCCCACTGAAGTTCCTTTTGTTAGTATATTTTCGAGTTAGAAGCAGGTTGTCAATGAGATCAATCAGGCTTTGGCATTGGAACTTGGTGTATTCTGAAAGATTTGTATTATTGGTGAGAAGGATGAACAAAGTGTCCTTTCATGCAGTTGGTTCCCTTTATGAATTTAAATAGAGCAAGAACAAACATTGATGCAGAATAGTATGACGAGAAACCTCGAAATAATATGAATTCATACTATTCTGCATCAATGTTTGTTCTTGCTCTATTTAAAGTGTCCATTGTTATATTTGGTTCGATAGAGGCAAATAAGACAATAGCATTGAAGGTATCCTTCAATTTGTTGTTGGCAATTTGAATATTTTTTATTTTATTTAAGAATTGTGTTGGAGATTTGATCTATTGATCACATGAGTTTGTCAGATGTTTTAACGGCTTTGATAATTCTTGAAAGATTGTACGTAGAGGTCCATGGAGGTGCAAAGACTGGTCATAGAGGGATGTTCGGTTTGTGTAATTTTGGTATACTATAGGTTAATTTGACTTCATTCTCCATTGACCATATTTTGTCAGTAGTTCCGCTTTGACAAGTTTGTTGAGCGTCCCGTTGATTTTATTATAATTTTTCTGGAAAGGATTACCTTCCATTGATTTATATGCACTATCGTCTTTGATTAGCTCCTCAGACCTCTGAACGTAGTCTTCTTCATCGATGAATACCGTGGTTTATTCATTATCAGCAGGAATTATGATTGTGCTTTTCTATATTTTTAGTTATGTTAACGCCTTTTATTTTCGCATGGTTAATTGATAGTAATTTTTCTTTGTTGAACCAAGAGTACTACCATTTGTTTTAGTTTTTGTTGAGTTTCTTCACTTGGTAGTGAAATTTTGAGTGATAAATTCAGCGTTGCGAAGAATTCCGTTTTCGACACATTTTCAGTATTGTAGTTCTTTTTGAAAAAGACATTCTTCCACTTTGGTTAGGGGCTGTTTGAAGAGTTCATTACGCAATCGTTTATTTCTGCTTCAGCTGGCGTCCGAGAGATTTTGGTCGATTTTACCCTTAATATTTTGTCTCTCCCTTCTATATCGTTTGCTTGATATTTTGATCGCAATTATTAAGGTTGTTACACAAAAGGTCAGTCTAGGCCTAAATAACTCAATAATAACATATCACGTTGTGAAGCTAAGTGATGTCTGTTTGAATTTCACATTACATAGACCGATGATTGGTCTGCTGGATTTGTAAAATTCATCCCACAAACATGATGTGAGAAACCAGTTTAATCAGTATGTATATATTAGCCTAACAGATTAAAAATATAGTACCCAGAAAACTGAAATGAATGACTATCGATTATAAAAAGTTTGATACTTCATGTAAGCCATGTTATTTATGTAAGTCATGTGAGTAGATAATAAGCAACAAAACCAACACACAGAATACACAATTTATGGTCACTATTACGAACTGATGAACACATTGTTTTATCCAACAAATCGATGGCAGTTTGAGTGTAACAATATAAATACCAGTTATAGACTTAAAATATGGCAGAAAAATTATCTATGAGATATTGCTATACATTGAAACTAAATACTAATACAAAACCATAAAAATAATTTTGGGTTAAGTTAAATACAACTCATCAAATAATGAATGGCATATTACGTTCTACTAGAGAACTATGGAAGCATGAGTATGAGTACGGAAGTCTGAAGTTATTTGTTTATTTTTCGGTTAGTTGTTTTTTAATCGACAAGATTGTGAATGTGAATAGGTTAAGTTAGGTCAGAATATACTAGAAATGTACAGCTCAGTCAGTAACAACGTAGAACTTCGTACGTAAGTACATCAGTTCGAGTTGCCATACAACTAATATCTAATTTAATTATTTTAATTAAGCCGATGTCGGGTAAAAGAGCTCTAAAGGTGATTAGACAGAGGAATAGGTCTGCTGATGATTTATATATTAAAAGTAAACAATTGATTTTCATCTCAAGTTCGAAATACGATGGAACTGTGTGAATAGATAACTTAAACAATAAGAGTTAGGTAGAATCAGAAAAACGTTTATACAAATCTGTAATAAATTTCAGGTTTAGAAGCTCATTTACGATCAAACTTGCTGTGTGAAAATGTGATATCCTATGTAGCTTTTCAAATCGAATTAGGGATTTAGACCAAGAGCATAATGGTCGATGGACATGTTTTTAAACAAGTCAGATATCTTAAAATGTATTTACTGATTTTACACTCAATGATGAACAATATAATATAAACTCGTCAAATCATCTCAATATATTGTTTCACTAATTACAAAATATTCCTATACAACCTGAATCGGAAATTGAAACACTTCCGTCAACTCTTATGGACGTTCAAAATAAAGCATTCAAATTGAGGCGAGAAAAAGCATCAGGACTCGAAAAATTGACTCCAAGGGGAGAGTATATCGTACAGCAGTCTTCTCTGTACTACAATACGGTTTTCAAAAAATGATTTATGAAAGTGGAAGACAAGTGTCAGTTAAGTATTTAGATATAGGTGTCTTCAAAGCATTACTCGTGCATGCAACTGAGTGAGCAGTGATAGTGCAAGCTGAAAGGCAAACCAGTTGAATAGGTAGTGGAATCCTATCGGTTGGTGTGATCAGGACATGTCCTACCTCTATCCAATCACTACTTACCTCAACCAGAACGTTAACTGGAGTAAGAACGAGTGATGAAACCAGGACACGCCATCAGTCTACGAAGGCATTGGCTGTTGGATAGAAGCACTTTGACAGGTGTAAACTACCTGATTAGGAACCGCACGATAATCGATATCAGTGGTTAGAGGCGCTAGGTGGCATAGCTTAGAATAGGTCACGATGGTACAGATGTATTCAGTCAGTATTTCTTTAGATCTCGAGCTCAAGGATACCTCAACACATACCATTTCATTCTAACATTCAAAATCTCCAGTCTCCCTCACTATTGTTGATATCGCTATTATATTGACTCATCGTATTTTTCTCATTAGTCATGTCTCGTTAGAGTGATAAGGAATAGCAACTTGAGCTAAGGCATATTTGTCTCAGACTATAATGATGATGGCTGACTGGCCGGCAGGAAAAGTACGTATTACAGTAGGGATTATTAATTACAGACGAACACTCTTAATTTCACCCACTACAAAACAATGGAGGTTCGGTATTTGAAAATCAACTGAAATGTTACACTAGTCCAATAAACAATCGACAAATATTTCCGTAATTTTATTAAACCCTAAGACAAGGATTATGGGGTTGTGTAACACTGGTAAGCCAAAAATAATAGTATATAAACATGCAAATTGTTCAATTGTACCGTTTTGCATTTCATACACAATGTATAAGATTTCAGTCAGTCAGTCAGCATAAGATTTAGAAGACAAGTGAGTACACTAGCATTTCAAACAGAAGTAAATGATAAATCATTTAACAGAAAGAAAAACTGGTCCCACTAAAGATCAATAACCGTTATAAAAAGATTTGAAAACTAGCTATCACTGGTAAACTGATCTGTTATAATTAAACATTTGGTTTTAATCACATTATACTCGCCACAATTCAACTTAGCATGATATAAGAAAACTAGTCATTTCATTTCACTATTGAGTGATCTGTATACTCTCGAACAAACTATTCATTTTTCGAACTGATAGTATTATATTAAGAAACACCCAAAACTTACCATTAGACAATTGATCTTCAGCTTTTAAGCGACTAGACAAGCATTCAGAATGAACAGACATTGTCAAATGGCATCGAGATGTAGATCCTATTAATCCTTCACGGCGATTGTCAATATTAATACTACTGTTTACTACTCCACTAGAGGCAGTTAAGCCGTTGTTTGAACCACCATAACCACTGCTACCAGTACTTGAATTGGAGAATGGAGTGTGTTCGGCACTTTCTCCCTCACTCCCACCGGCTATATTATATGTACAAGGTTGATTTGAACGACTATACGTATCAAGTGTGTGAGGGTTATCGTGAAGTGGAGGAGAAATAGTATTAGTTTGATTATTATGATCATCATTGTTTTGATTTGGAAATGAATGCATAATGGATGATCTTGAAACAGTTTTATCAGAGGTAGAATATGTTAAGTCTATTTGTTGGTCAGCAGAACTAGAGGGTGTATTGGGCACATCTAATTTAGCACGTTTATGGGGAGAAATTGTATTTCCAGGATTTGTTGAAGTAGAACGCTGACTGCCAACAACATCATTTGCAGTAGACATAGTAGGATTTTGGTGACGAACACCGACAGACTTATCATACACCTGGGAATGTTGATTAAAACTGGAGATCTGAGTTGAGGGTGCTGAATTTGTGTTTGCATTGAGTCGACGAAATTTCTGAGAGTAAAACAAAAGTAAATACAATAATGAGACATTATTATCTGGATACAAATAAAATTTAGTATGCAAAGTAACTGAAAAATGGAATGATAAATGCTTAGTAGTAAATGTGTTTTAGATACTTAGCTTAAAACCACTGGATTACACGTTTCCTCCACCGTTTCCTTCAATATGAACATTCGATTGATTTATTCAATACATAGAAGTGATGTACTGACACAGTTGATTGATGGGTTTTGATTTTTGAAATTAGGCAGAAGTCGATTGAAAACAGAATCTGTCTGTACCAGCAACTTCAATTTACGAAAATAACCAATAATTTTCTGCAAGTCAAACCCGATTCTGTCAATATAATAAAACTTATGATACCAATAAGCCAAATATTCATCAGTAGATGTACATTGAGAGCTCTTGGTCATTATAACACTGGGATATATTTGCTATATCTGAAAATTCGATAAAGATTCATCTTGAAATTTATTTATCAGCTAATAAAATTGGATCTATAAATAGTTCCTATCCAAACTAGGTTGGTTACATCAGAACTGAGTACGAAATGATGATTTTGGTTATTAAATAATTTATAAGCCTATAAATTATTATTCATAGTATTTATGGTCAATCTACAAGTTATCACCTTCCTTGAGTATAACTTTTTGGACTTATAATTAGAGATCTCTTGAACACACAGATTTAAATTGAGTGAGAATAAATAAGTAGTCAACCAGATTCAGTGTAGATTTAGACTTATAATCAATAGGAAAAGACAATTGTGTCACAAGATAATATTAACAGGACGTAAAAAAGTTTGAAATGTGTTGGGCTTTAAACAACTTCTGAAACAATTTCTAGGGCGTACAACTGAAGCCAATGTTTACCAACAACAAAAAAGCAAATATATATTACACCAATCACTTTGATATGAAACTTTTTCATAATTAATTGTGATAAAACTATTTAAAATGTACTTAGCTAATACAGTCTGCTATTGAGTTGTATGATCCAAATATCCACTCATTTACACAACTCTCTCAGTTCCGGGACTAATAGTCCCGGACAATCAACTAATGTACAAGTAGAAGTTACTGAAACCAATTGTTCTTTTAAACATTCCTTGTTTCCTAACACAGAAAATAACTAATAAGACACAAGGAAATTAAAATCCTAATGTGAAATCAGTGATATTTTACAACTAGACATTAGAATTTTCCGCATTTATCTATATAACGTTGTAAGATCCTTTTCTACTACTCATCAATAACTATCAAAAGATTTAATTTTATGAGCTGTAGATTTACATATAAGGATCTCTACCTAGACAAAGTGATTATATGGATTATGTAATTACTTCATGCATAAAGATTTAGTCATATACTAAGGGTTGCTGAAATGTGGCAAAAATTGATGAAAAGAAATTAAGCCTGGTAAAATGTACGAATGATACTGAACTTTGGTAGCATTTACATAGCATGTACATCAGAGAAACCATATAAAAAATGAGGTTACCATACTTTAATACTAATATCGCAAAGGCAGAATACTACAAAAATTAAAATTAAAACTACTTTTCACTGAAGATTTGAGGAGTAAAATCTAATATGAATGATGTCAAGTTACTTTTACAGGAAAGATAGCTAATCTGGGAACACAAAGTAGGTAGTATTAATATATTAGGAGAGATCATTCATGTAATATATACCAAAAATGTAATCTATATTTTGTTGCTTGATGTCTGCACACAACGATAAACTCTTGTTAAGTCCACTGTTGACTATGAAAAATAATTGGAAGATCTGCAAACGACTTGAACAAAATTTTACAAAGTCAACATAGGAATATTCTCACCTCTCGAAGTTCTGGTTCATTGGCTCGCCACTGATCCAACAGTCCACGGAACACTCCTAGACGGGCGGCAACTTCCACATCACTCACACCTGCACACAACATATCTAGTGCAGCAATCTTCTTACTCAATGCATGAGGTGCCGAAGGAGCATTTGCTCGTGTTGGACGTCGAGTAAACTGGTCATCAGAGGGGGTGGACGAATTGTCAGGAGAAGCGGTTCGAGATCGGTCAGTGGGAGATTTAGGAGGAGTTTGAGACTGCTGACTAGTCTGGATAAAAAGCAAAATGCCGAATGATGAAAATTAACTTAAAAATCCATTCAGTCTAAAATACACAAAACAACTGTTTGGTCTGAACTAGGTAGAGTTTCGGACATGAGACAACAAGAATTTAACATATCAGATAACAAGCAACGAGAATCACCAACATTGTCTGTTGAAGCCGAAGCAATAATCAGCACGTTATACAAATCAACAACTTAAAAATTAATAACTAACCTTCAAAGAAATGATCCGTTTTCTCTCAGCACCAGTATAACCTGGCCAGTTTTCATCTAATTCTGATACCACAGACGGTATAAGGTAATATGCCGACTGTCTTCCAACACGACCCACTGACGACAATATGTCGGATATTTGGTCTTTCTGGGTATGAGATAGGCCATCACGAGACAACCGTAATAATAATTCGGGGCGCTGATAAGGCCGTAATGCCAGTATGTGAATAATGCGTTCTCTAAAATGTATATGGAAAAGTATAATATATAAATAATATGGTTTTAAAACACAATTGGGATGTCACAGTGCAAACAAAACTAACCTTCGAACGTAGGTACACATCTTTCATATAGTGACCGGCAATAATGTGCCTTGACATGAAACGGAAGTTATACACCAAACGTCACTAACAAAGCGTTATCCATATTAGGCGCACTAAACCCAATTATCACCAAACACATCATCCCTATATTTGAGGTAGCTTCCTTCATAATATCAAATTGAACAAGTACTTATGAGACCCCTGACCAAACCAAGGAGAATTTAAAAATATGGTTCACAAATTAGATACAATGTTACAAACTAAACCATATTTATGTCGAAATTAATCATATACTGTCTTCTCAAGTAGGTCACAACTGTCGAGGCATATCACAAATGACTTACAATAACCAATATTACTAAACACATATCAAAATATTACGCGAAAGATGGTACTTTAAAGCCAGTGGAACCCACGTGTACAGTACCATAGTGAAAAGGCTAACTTTGAACTAATTTCAAGAAAACAAAACAAAGCAAGGGTAAAGAACTTCTCACAGTACTTAAACAACTCCTAGAGTGTAATTATAATCAGAAAATTATGCGCACTTATGTGGTTGGTCAGCAACACCTATATCACATTAAAAAGAAGCTAGTGAAACTGATGCTTTTCACAAAAGTGAATCAGTTAAATACTTAACCTGATTATGACCGATAAGATCATCAACAAATAAAAGTCAGTCAGTCAACTACAACGTAGGAGCAGGCAGGTTAATATTCAAATCCATAAAACCTACAACTAGAAGTAAGAAGGCCTTACGGTACATGACCAATAACTTTATATTAAATAAAATCAAACGAGTTACGCTTCGGGAATTATAAGCTACTACCAAGTAATATAGTACTACCGGATTTACTCAGATATAATGTACACAGCTGTATGGTTTCAATACAAATGTATAATGTAGTAAGAACAATAAGATAGAAACCTACAGGGGAATGCCATGATAAACTTCCCAAATATAAAAGTTTTCAGTTAGATTGTTGGTTACGCACAACTAGGATTTGATCATACTATATAATATATATATATATATATATATATATAACAATGCACCACAAATGATTAATTTATATTTAAACGACGGCAAATCTTTATTACTTGAGATGTTATTGCGACTAAACGAAGAATGATCTGCAAATGGTAGACAAACGAGTCTTACCAACTAATATTGCACTAATAAAAAGTAAGTACTTCAACAGCCATTGATTCAGAGCCAAAACAATCCATTCAATGTAGAACTTCCAAACAACCACTACGGTATACTAGAGTGCCAACAGACTGAGATTACACGTACATTTTTCATGTGTATAAGCAAGAAGTAAACACACCTCAGTGAACGTGCCAAAACGTCTGGATTAGATAGTGGAGGACTGGGACCACAACCAACAGGATTCTGTGACTGAACTCGATTGGCTACGTTAGGGAAATCTATGTTCTGAGGTGAAATTTCATTTCCCTTTCCCTTCAAATTTACACCCTGATTGCCTTGTTTGTGAGTGGATTGAGATGCTGCTGTTCTAGAAGCCATGGATTTAGCAGATTTAATCTCTTTTGTCTGAGACTTTTTGTTTTCGTCTTCTAATTGTGTCATTCGCTCCTTAGCCGCTGAGAAGCTATCCTCCTTAGCATTGACCGTGATCCTGGAGACCATCCTTCCCAGACAATGAGTTGAAACACTTGAGTAAACGGCAGGTTACATAAGGAAAATTCCTTACCCTTTGGTGCGCAAGCAATTGAAAGATTCATCGTGAGTACTTGTTAGGCTTGAGGTACTGAATGTAAATCTGCTGCTGCTTTTCCCGACAGGAACAATAAATGACTACAGAGGTGAAATAATTATATAATAGAAAATTACTCCTTCGGACCCACTGAACGTAATGCTAAAGTTGTGGTTTCCCTTTATTAGTTAATCAACATAATACTTGGATAAAAACTTACTGAACTGCTAGCAAGTTGCTCAATATCCTTCAAGGCAGAATCAGTAAGACGAAAGTGAACTAGTTCCAGATCGTTATATGAAGAATCATCGAACACAAAACTAGAATCCTTCAGACAGCGGAGAGACATACCAAGTGCAGACGCTGCGGATAACGAAGTCAGCTGTAACCCGCACCCGCCTTTAACTCAAAACTTATAGCCATTGACGGATTCAAACAAAAATATAACAACTAATTTTTCAGAGTTATTTTGGTGTAACGATGTGAAGGCTAGCATCTATATATTATTGAAAAAAGTTTTACATATCTTTACTACATTCTGTTACAAGCTAGTCAGTTTCTTTGCCCTTGAATTATGCTTTTAGCGAACGGTTTCAGGTGTTCGGTGTCGTCCAGCTTGTTTTGACAAGCGACTCACTTTCGATGATCCGAACTACTGTAACAATCTTTTGGAATCAGAATGTTTTGAAGCAGATGATTAACCTCACCGAATGTTGTATGATTAGAGTTGAAGAACAGGGAGGATTTTAAAAATAAAAAGAATAATAATATAAAAATGTCCAAGATGGCTTGCCAAGACAGCTTAAAGGTAAGTATTTCTGACCGTCCTTGACTAACGTGAGTTATGTGAGGGCTTTTTGTGTATTTTCAGCGAACAGTCACCTCTGTTGTTCAGACTATCTATCAAAAAATGTCTAGGCTAAACGTCGCCTGAACGTTGAAGGAGTCACGGCTGCAGAAAATGTAGGTGTTATCTTTCTGCTAGGTTCATATAAAACACAACTCAGAACTTCATCATTTAGTTGAATAGTTACAGTGTGTAATTGTGGTCTACTGTGGTAATAGTCCATCTATTTTCGGTACCGATATCGTAGACCTAATTCCGAAATGTCAGATTTGTCATGATGTGACTGCCAAATCCATATGATCTTACACGGAAGCCACATCATAGTCTACACTGACTTTTTCTGTCTTGGCAATCATCGATATTATGTTCAGTACTTTTGAAGAACATATTTCGGCTAGGGATGAAGTAATATATCGAATGTGAGAAGATACGGGTTACACAAAACGACTATGTCTTCAAGTTTGAGCCATGCCATACCGATTCCTTGTTGCTGCGTTCACCATTGTTGACCTTCTCTTAGTGTTACACGTTGAACGTAAATCTTTTCAGTAAGTGTATTCTCGGCTTCAAAAGTCGTGTAATTAGGAATCAATCCGACTACAACGGAAATCTACGAATATTCGGCAAAGCAACTGACTGGTGGTTTTTTTAGAACAATGACATCAAGTGCTGATTTCGGCCGTGAATCGCTACAATGTTATGAAAAAGAGGCCATTAGACACTTGATGTATAGTCCTCTAGGTAACTAATAATGTACAGTGAGAATAATTTAAATTCATTTAGTTTGTTTCTTCGTATAATGATTCATCTTCGGCATTCGCTGTCGCCAGTTAGGACACCCAAGGAAGAATGCAAAGCGAAATTCATGGAGGAGTATTAGGCATCACAGAATTTGTTCCGGCTTTGAGTGTTATCTTGAGTTTCCGGCTTCGACTCAAAAATGGCCAGCTGAGATTATGTGGCTGCTTCAGTTATTAACTCACTCCTGAGAGGTATACAGTGACTTCCTGGTCTGTCCCAGCATAGAATGATGGGCAAGTCGTTTTGCTTCCGTAATTCCTTCTCAGCAGTAATCGAAAAGTGATAAGAGATGTTTATGGTTGACAGAACAAAAGTGTACACAGACAGCGATGAAGCTGTCTTACATTCAAATATTTGTTTTCTAGGTTTTGGTTTTCTGTGAAGTTGAAAGAAACATCATGACCTTTGCTAGGTCGTTGAAGATGAGATCTTGTTAACAATGAGTAGAAAGGTTCAGTGTTAAGTCACCAATATTGCAAACGCATGAACATTCTGTAGTGGTATTGGTTCTAACCACTTGACCCTCAAAGTTGAACATAGGATAACTGGGAAAATTCACAGTCAACTGTGGATACGGAGTGTAGATCAATAATGGTGAGCTAGGGAACAATCAATCGAAATGGCATAGTTTGATAATTAGGAGTATCTGAATTATAGTATAAACTAAGAATCCTAAAACTAACACAATTGGATCATGAAGTACTAGATAAGCACTAACGAATGTACTGTATTTAGAATTCGAAATCAAGCATTTAACAATTAAGAAAGAATCATTAGTTCATTCAAACACCACATATGGCTTGGTCATGCAGGCGTGGTCAGTCTATGTAACTTTTTGCCTTTTATATCCAATATTTTACTCTCTTCTCAGCCCAAATGTGTTCTTCAAAAGTTTTAGACGTCACATTGCTGATTGTAACAACAGAAAAAGTCGGTGTAGACTATGGTGTGGCTTTCATGTAAGATCATGTAGATTAGGTGGTCATATCATCCTAAAGTTTTAGTACTAGATCTATTATTATAAAGACAAAGACCAATGTCCTAATATCGAACTAGACCATGATTTCACAATTCCACCGTAATATGATGTCACTCATGGTCGGGAAAGTGCCATTCTTCAACTAAATGCAATCTATAGTATCATATGTGAACGGAGGATAAATGAATGGTAGCTACCAAAAATATTTATGGACTATTATTATACATATTCTTATGACATTATTATTAAACAAATATATTTTACATATTTACATTCCTTTCAATATAAGCTTTCATTTGAGTCGTTAATTTTTATTATACGTTTTACTGTTCTTAATTTATTCCCGATCCATTATTTACAGTTTATCACCTGACTTGGTCTTATATAACTGTTATTTTTTCATTTCATTGTGTTGTAGATCATTACCGTAAATGATCTGTGTCAAATGATTGGGGGCTTACTCTAGTTGGATGGGAATAGTGAGATCAACCAGCTAACGTCGAAATCACAAATCACGGTTAGTACTTGACGTAAATTACCCTTTCGTCGTATCAAAATACTATGGATGCGTTGATGACCGTGCGACAAAACAACGTTAATAAAGAAATATGTCAATAGTAGTAGGTAAATGCAAAAAAGTGTGACCACTGCTTCATGGGTCAGTCCATGAAACGCATTAGCTGTTTTTGACCTTGATGAAGATCGATGAACTATTTTATATTCAATGACCCGACTTCCCAATGACATTTCACTGGCCCTACATTGCAATACATCCTGGTCTGCTTACATATGAATTATATATGTCTGAATTATAATGTACATACAAAGGAGGCTGATTATTGTGTTGTGAACTCAGTGGGCAGAGAAAGGTGAGAAGCTGTTGCGGTGATTGTTGTTATATCCTCTTATTTGAACCATTACAATTCTTACGACTGGAAGCAAGGCAATTAAGACTGGTAAAAGTAGAGATTTATTAAACCTGAAACATGACGATCCTAGTTGAAAATATACTCACTTATATTGATTGTACAGCTAGTTTGCTTATTAATTAGAACAAAAGCACATATCTGAAAAATATCCTGAATTCTAACAAACCATATAATACATATATCAGGCTGAGCATAGTTCATACTAATCTAAGACCAGAATGAGGTAACTTGAACAAACACTCCACTTAAATAAATTAATGTTATAACTAACAAATAATACAGAGGAAAACAAATGTTACGCAACACAATCATCACATTAGAATAAAAATGGAAGTGATATTGGACAAAAATCACAATGATTACAAGAATGTCATTTTGCCTTTTCATCCTATTATATCAGTTGCATAGAGTTTAGACATGAATGTAGAGGAGATATTGAATGTAAAATTATATTTGTGAAAGTCTCATAATAATTAAGGTCAAAATGATCAATAAATTTGTTCCCAACTATTATCAAACCACGATAACGTGTTGAATTTGGTTTACAATGACATTGTAGGTTAGTTTCTATGACATATGTTTAACTTGTGTTATGCACGCATTAAACGATGGTCATATGAATGATGAGTTAAACACCGCTATCATAGATGATCAGAGAATTTTCTAGATGAAACTCAAGTTATCTATGTACTAATCTGTTAATTCATTTGTATAGATTCTGTTTCATTATTTTGTGAACATTTCGATGATTTTTTTAATGACCGATTATTCTTATGATCAAACACTGAGCATGCATTACTAATGTAATGCAATGTGTACTGTGTAAAGAATATTATACGTGAAATTGTAATTCGAAAGATTATTAATTGTATTTCTATTGTTGAATCAGTAGATTCATGTAATGTTGTATTTTTAGGTCTTTCTTATAACTCATTGTTATATAGTTCATTGCTCCAGATTTACCATGAACTGACTAATTCTTCATTACTCCTGTTATTACTATTTATGACTAAGTTATATAAACATTGTTTTCCCTTAGTTGTGTTGCTGTGTGATTATTTGAAGTATATATTAATGTGTGGGTTTTGAGTTATGATTGAATAAAATACAACAAAGAACTGTTTTCTGATTGACCAGTGGGTTTGAAGAGCTTTAAAAATCAATGGGCGTTATCGTTTTGAATGTGATGTTTTAGTTGATGTATCAATTGCTTAATAAAAGATCACTGGTTTCAGTTCGAATACGGACAACTTAAACGATAATTGGACTACTGAGAGATCATATAACTGCTTTTTTATTATTATAGTCTGATTACACGGGACTCAATGCTATTAAAACAATATATTTTTCAAACATAATAGTTGACTGAATCCAATGTAACTCAATGTAATCTACAAGATAAGTAGAAGGTTGATAAAGGTAGTTATATTGCATCTTCTAAACATTTCCAAAGCACTAGCTATACATCTGCGGCAACCGGAAGTGTGTGTCCAAAAGATATTGGTACAAACTCTTCTTCTAATATGGTCATAATGTCTCATAATTTTCTTTCTTCTTCATACTTTTATTCCTTCATATCAATCTACTTCCTTTTATATCTTCTTGTGGTACTTGTATGAACTAATGATTCCTTGGTGCTGGATTACCTACTGATTACGGATTTGAAACACAATACGTTCATTTGTACTCATCTAGTCCCATTTACTGTAAATTTCACTGTTTCGAAATCTCAGCATGGATTCGAAAAGCTCGTTTGGCTTTTGCCAACTTATGTCACCTATGGAGAAGGCGAGATATCCGTCTATCAATTAAGGGACGAGTATACTGAGCGGCAGTTCGTTTTGTCCTACTTTACGG